CTGCTCCTCCCTGTCCAGTGACAACAGTGGATCTTATGCCAACCCAGTCTCTAGCCGTAGCCATCCCTCGATGGGCCAGGCCAGCCAACCCGGACAGTCATTCCCGCCGGTGCCACAGCAGGTGCAGTGGCACCGAGCATCGTGGCCGGCCAAATGGTACCAGTGGGCACCATGGCCTCCAGCATAGCCTCCAGTGTGGGCTCGCTCAGTGGCCGGAGCTTTGGAAGCACCGTCGGCCTCCCTCTCCAGACCTCCGAGGAAGGAGTCAGTGGGACGTACCCTCTGTGCCGGCTGACACCCAGAGCACTGCACCGGCCTTTTCGCCCCGCCCGGAGGAGGCGATTGCGGCCATACCCCCCTGTCACGCAGGAGGACTCTAGGGCCCACCAAGAACTCTTAAAGAGGATGGTAGCGAGCCTACACCTCCAGGCAGAGGAGATGGAGGAGCCCTCGGACTCCCTGTTTAACGTGTTGTCCCCATCCGGACGACTGGCTTTTCAAGGGCACCTCCCGGTCGAGGGTGACGGATCATGTGGCGCTCCTGTCCATGTGCACCGCCTTGGGCCTGTTGGTAAACAACACCAAGTCCACGTTAGTCCCGGTCCAACGCATAGAGTTTATTGGGGCGCTCCTGGATGCAGAATCGGCCAGGGCGCCTCTCCCGCGAGACAGGTTCGAGACCCTGAAAGTTCTCATAGACTCGGTCACAAGGTTCCCGGTGACAACAGCCAGGGTTTGCCTGCAACTCTTGGGCCACATGTTGGCATGCACGTACATGGTCCGTCATGCCAGACTCAGGATGAGGCCCCTCCAGCTCTGGTTGGCCTCGAAGTTCTCCCAGACCACGGACAGGATGGACAAGGTCCTCACCATGCCGGACTCTGTGATCGCCTCCCTACGGTGGTGGTCCGCCCCAAACAACGTGCTCCAACGGGTCCCCTTCCAGGACAGGGCCCCGTCATTGGAGATCGTGTTGAATACGTCGGACCTGGGTTGGGGGGCCCACGTGGGGAACTTTCAGACCCAAGTTCTGTGGTCGACTCAAGACCTGACCCTACATATAAATGTCAAGGAGCTCAGGGTGGTGCGGCTGGCGTGTATGGCCTTCCGCTCACACCTAGAGGGCAAGATAGTCAGGGTCCTCAGGGACAACATGGCCTCGATGTTCTATATCAACAGGCAAGGTGGGGCCCGATCCTCTGCCATGAAGCCCTCAGGCTGTGGGACTTCTGTATAGCCCACGACATACACCTGAAGGCCTTCCACCTACTGGGTGCCTGGAACGAGAGGGCGGACCGCTTGAGCAGGGACTTTTCCTCGCAATACGAGTGGTCCTTCCACCCGGAAGTGGCCCACCGGCTCTTCCGAAGGTGGGGAACTCCCCAGGTGGACCTATTCGTGACTCGGCAGAACTGGTGATGCCCCCGGTTCTGCTCCGGGGGGGGGCTGGGGAGGGACGCTATCTCCGATGCCTTTCTCCTGTCAGGCCGGCTTCTCTACGCCTTTCCCCTGTTCCCCCTAATCAGCAGGGTCCTGGAGAAGATAAAGTCGGACAAGGCCCGGGTCCTCCTGATTGCTCCGGCGTGGCCCAGGCAGCATTGGTACGGGACCCTCGGGGGCCTGGCAGTAGCTCCGCCGTGGCTGTTACTGCTCCGTCCGGACCTGCTCTCTCAGGACCAGGGCCGCCTCCTCCACCCCAACCTAGCGGCTCTTCGCCTCACGGCGTGGCTGCTCAGTGGTTAGGTGGAGAGGAACGGACGTGCTCGGACCAGGTTCAGCGCGTCCTCCTCGAAAGTAGACGGCCCTCCATTCGCCGCGCTTATTTGGCGAAGTGGTCCCGATTTTCTAGGTGGGCGGCGGGCCAGGGCGTCTCCCCGGTGACCGCCCCGATCATCTCCTCCACTTGAGGACCCAGGGCCTGGTGTCCTCATCAGTCAGGGTGCACCTGGCAGCCATATCAGCCTTCCATCCACCAGTGCAAGGGCACACGGTATTTTCCCATGCTATGACTGGCCGGTTCCTTAGGGGTTTGGATCGTCTTTTTCCATATTCTAGACCCCCAGTCCCACAGTGGGACCTAAACCTGGTGTTGGTTCGTCTCACGGGGCCCCCGTTTGAACCACTGGCCACGTGCTCCTGGTCTCACCTCTCATGGAAGGTGGCCTTCCTGGTTGCAATCACGTCAGCCAGGCGAGTCTCGGCGCTCAGGGCCCTGACCTCTGAGCCGCCATACACGGTCTTTCATAAGGACATGGTCCAGCTCCGCCCACACCCTGCGTTCCTCCCGAAGGTGGTCTCCGCCTACCATATGGGTCAGGACATTTTTCTACTGGTCCTCTGCCCCAAGACTCTCGTGTCCAGTGAGGAGCGCCGTCTCCACACGCTCAATGTGTGGCGAGCTCTGGCTTTCTACCTCGAGTGGACTAAGCTGTTCAGAAAGTCCTTGCAACTATTCGTTGCCTCGGCTGAGCGTGTGAGGGGCCAGCCGATTTCCATTCAGAGGCTGTCCAATTGGATCGCTTCATGCATCTGTTCCTGTTATGAACTGGTGGGTGTTCCCCCGCCACCCATTGTGAGGGCACTCTTACAAATATAAAAGCAAATCCCTTCCTATACCTTTTAAGAGGAAAGATTTCTCCCCAGCCCCGTCCAAGTTGGTGAGCCTTCATACCCAAGCCACAAGGATTTAGGCCCCCTCTTAAGCCTCCTGGGTACAATCAAAAGGCACATACTAGAAAGATTCCTTCAGTATCAGCCTCCGTATCAACTTTGACACTGACTGGGACCTGAAGGACTGGTACTGTCAAAAACCACCAAGTCAGAGACCCATTCATCGATGGTACCATTGCAGCCCTGTAAGGAACTGCCCTGTACACCTACTTTGATGGTACAGAATGACGAGACAACCTCCGAAGGGACCAATGAGTTATACCACTTCGGAAGATATCTTCATCCTCCCAGACTCTCAGTCTCCCTTGTTATCAGGATCAGTCTTAACCAGGGAGATTCTACCACCAGTGGGAATCAAGGACTCTGGAAGAAGTCTCTCTCCCATCCCATCCACTAGTCATGGTTTTCCCAACAGCATCATCGATGGAGCCGGATCCAACCTTTTCATTGTCTGGAGAGTTGGATGTACTGGGGGAACCAGCTTCACCTCCACCTAAAGAGATAAGCCCAGACAGAAGATTGAGAGCCTCCTTGAACCAGCCTCGGCCAAGCTAAAAGGGACCTCCTCCTCAGGACTGGTGTACCCAATGCCGAGAGAGAGAGAGGGACTTTTGACCCCTCATACTGGCCTTATTGAGGTCCATGGGGCCCTTATGCATGGCACCTGGAATGTGTGCAATCCAACAGGGAATTTTACCACCTCTCTCCTCCAAGGTGTCAACCAGAACCTTCCCTTGAGCCCATGGAAGGAGAAAGACTAACGAGATCAGCTGGTACCACTGGTACTAACAGGGTATCATCCTCATCACCAAATGAAGTGGTTGCTCCAGCCTCACTGTTTCCCCCAAACAGTCATAGACAATCTCAAGACCTGTTACGGAGAGTAGCAGAAGAGCTCCAAATCTCTTAAAGGAGGTCCAGGATTTTCAACATAAGCCTACAGGATCCAGTCAGATTACACTCCAGGTAAATGAAGGCATACTAGAATGGACAAGAGCTATATGGCAAACTCTGGTTACCTATGCCCCTATCCCCAAGAGGGCAGGAAAACAACATTTTGTCATGACTAAAGGAGCAGACTTCTTGTTCACTCACCGGGCACCACCTAAGTCACCCTTTGAACCACTAACTACATGTTCCATATCTCACCTGTCAATGAAGGTCACCTTCCTGACTGCCAACACCATGGCCAGAAAGATAAGTGAACTTGGGACCCTGTTGGCCAGTCCACCAAATACAGTATTCCATGAGGACAAAGTCTCATTCTGGCTATACCCAAAATTCACTCCTAAGATTGTTTAGAAATTCACATAAACCAGTCAATGCACTAACCTGTGTTTTTCCCGAACCCCTATGCTTATAGCAAGGAGAGGAGACTTTATTCCCTCAACATGCGACGAGCATTGGCATTTTACCCACTGAGAATGAAACTGATCTGAAAGTCATTGCCATAGCAGAATGAGTTTGAGGACAAGCTGTATCTCTCAGAAAATCTCTAAGTGGATCTCTGGCTGTGTCCTACTCTGTTATCAGTTAACAACTTCCTCCCCCACATGGGCAAGGACTCACTCTATGAGGGCACAGACATAATCAGTAGCATTGCTTCAAGGGGTGCCCCTGCTTGAGATTTGCAGGGAAGCTTCGAGGAGTTCAATCCACACATTGACAAGATATTACGCCTTGATCCAAGACTCCTCTGTTGACGCTTTCTTTAGGACAGTGGTTCTACAAGCACTGTACCACCTGCATCTTTGTGCTCTCTTCCTCTGAGTAGAATACACACAGGACCAACACTCAAAGAAGAAAGAAAAGTTGCTTACCTTATTGTAACGAGTTCTCTGAGATGTGTGGTCCCTATCTGTATCCCACTACCTACTCTCCTTCCCCTCTGCTTCGGATCACATCAGGATTCACAATAGAGAAGGAACTGGAGAGGCAGTTGGTCCACCCTGCCCCTTATACCCTCGGTTTGGAGCACGGGGAGAACAGGGAGTTAGGTGCCAACCAGCCAAAACTGCTTGCAAGAATTCTCCAGCTCCTGGCACGTATGCATACCCACAGTGGAATACAGATGGGGGACCACGTATCGCGAAGAACTGCAGTTACAATACAGTAAGTAACTTTCCTTTATGAGAAGACATGTTTGCAGTAAGTTCAAATTGTCTATTTGTCATTACTTGTAAGCTTTTGACATTTTTCTGTTAAGTTTATATCAGATTAGAAAAAATTGTCAATTGAAAAGAACACATGCCTACCTTCTGAACTAAAAATCTTTTAGGGATACTTGCAGGATGTAAACATACATTTACTAGATTTTTTTTTTTGTCAAGGTTATTATTTCAGTGAGTCAGTTGATCGCTGATGTCGTTGGAATTGGAGGAACTAGATTTCAGCAATCTCTTTCCATCATTAACAACTGTGCCAACAGTGACAGACTTATTAAGGTTAGTACTGACTTTTTCATACCGCATAAAGGCTTCCAGAGAGTTTGTTTGAAAATAGTTCCCTAACGTCTTCTAATATTCTATCGCTTAGATTATGAAAGGAATAAAAAATAAATAATTCTTAAACTTTTTTAAAATTTATTTTAGCATACTACATTCTCTTCTGACGTAAAGGATTTGACAAAGCGGATTCGGACAGTCTTAATGGCTACAGCTCAAATGAAGGAGCACGAGAATGATCCAGAAATGCTTGTGGATCTCCAGTACAGTTTGGCAAAGTCTTATGCCAGCACGCCTGAACTCAGGAAGACGTGGCTAGACAGCATGGCAAGAATTCATGTTAAAAATGGGGATCTTTCAGAGGTATCAGATGAAAAGCAAAATATTTTAGCTGCTTAATCAATGTGCTTATTTTTCCCTCGGCATTTCCCATGCTAGATAACCATTGTGTTAATAGCTGTCATAGCTTTCCGTGCTGCCCATAAAAATTAGTAAGTTGCCATTGTCTCTGACTCTCTATGTAATACATATGTAAAACTGTCATAGCATGATGTAATATTAAGGCAGGAATGTTCTGCATGAGCTACAGGAGGCATGCCCTCTAGTTAGAAATGCCCCTCACTTATCCGTATCTTACAGCCTTAATGTAATTGAAGCCTCCCAACAACTGCTATTTGTTTGTTTCTAAATTAGTTGTACACTGCCAGCTTGAATAATTCTAGTTTTGAGTGTTTGCAGAAAATTTATGTATTTAAAATAAATGTCACTGATTTTTTTTTCCACAACAAAATGCTATCTGATACCACCATTCTCTTGTGAAAATATGTATTTCTAGTATGTTAGGAAAAAACAATTGGATATGCTTTGATCAAAGTAAATGAATATATTTAAGCATGTAGAATGTGTCTCAGCTCTTTCTGGATGTTTGTTCTCAGTGACACAAAATGATCTTCTTTGAATGCTCGCTCATGTCCATTTCATGTTAGGTGTGCATGCGGTGCATGCACAGTCATTGGAGATTTTTCCCTCTGTGGTATCCATCAGGCTGGCTCAAGTGCCCTCTGGTGCTGTGCGCTCATGTGCTGGTGTAAGGGCCCGGCCAGCTCCGTACCCTCTCGCTTCCTTCCTACCGCCCATGACAGTCGCTGGAATAGCAGCTCCTGCTTTGGCAAACTCTTATTCAGTGGTCGTACTTTAGTCCTTGTCCTTTGTTTCTCTATCCCAGTTCTTTATTTTCTCAGTTTGGACTGTTGTAGTTTAGTTGTATATAGTTAGTTGGCATGTCTCACCCTGTTAGCGGAGTTTCATCTGCTCCCAGTGCTGGGGCATGCCTTGGTCCCCAGATTTCAAGCCCTGTGCCTCCTGCAGAAAACTCATGTCTGTGAGTGACCCGCACTCCAGTTGTCTGAAGTGCCTGTGAGAGAACTCGTATCAGGAAGCCCTGCCAGATCTGTCGGGACTTCAAGCCCCATACAAAGGAGGCCAGGGAGGCCAGGCTGAAGTCCCTCCTGATGGAGGCAGTAGTCCGTCCCTCATCGGAGCGGAGCCAGTCCAACTCAGCACCCAGTACCTCTGCATCAGTGTGGAGTGCACCTCCTGCTGTGAGAGTGTCTCAGCACCATTCTTCTTCACCGGTGCAGAAGAAAAAACATAAGATGCACCTGGCCAAGAGGGGATGTTCCCCAACTGTGAAGAGAATCAAGCATGGGGAGCGCAGTGGAATGTGACCTGAGTCTGGCCACTCTTCTGCCACTGCTCCATAGGTGGCAGTGTCAACTCCGCCTCATAGGCAGGCTCCGTTGAGTCCAGTTCCTGACCATCCTTCAGCACTGGAAGGGCAATGCAGCACCAGCAGGATCACGGTGCCATCTACCCCGGATGTGGCCAAGGACCTGCTGGCACTGTCAGTACCGCTGTTGCTGACAGTACAAGAATCAGCGGCGTCGGTGCTGGGGAGTAGAAGGGAGCATGTGGCCCTGGGCTCCCGTTTGGTACCGGCCTCATCAGTACCATCTAGAAGGAAACGGTCCCTGCTTGCCTTGATGCAGGTCTTCCCACCTCAGCACCATTCCCAAGCACCGACAGGTACCACCCCTCCATGATCTTCGGAGGAAAGTTTTTCATAGGAGTCAGAAGCAGAGTCCCACTCGAGGAACCATTGCCAGTTTCCACCTGGGCAGCCCTATCAGTCGGTGGATCAGGGCGCAGAGGTACTGCTGAGTACTTGCACAGTGGGCACTGGTCTGTGCAGATGCAGTGACCATTTTGGAACCTATGGGGGTTCCCCCCGATGCTGTACTCTGTAGTCCCGGACAAAAGAGCGCCCCGTCCCTATGACTGGCACCAAACCCGGATTCTGGTACCGAGCCTCAAAACCTAGATCTATGGGACCCGCTTGGTGCAGAAGGAGAGGAAGAGGACCCCCTGCTGGTGCAGGCCTCTTCCTCCTCCTCCCTGGATGAGATAGTGTCTGGGGCACGTGTATCCCCCCTCATGACAACTTCGCAGCTCACCAGGAGCTGTTGAAAAGAATGGCTTTGAATTTTGGGCTGGAAGTGGAGGTAGTCAAAAAATCCTCCCATAGCCTGGTCAATACCTTGACTGCTGCGGGCCCGTCAAACGTGGCCCACCCTCTCAATGAGGCCATGATGGGACCGGTTAAAGCCCTTGGCAAGCCCCATCCTCCCTACCTGTCACGGCAAAAAGGGCAACAAAGAAGTAATTTATTCCCACTCAAGGCTACAAGTACTTGTTCTTCCTTCCCCCTCCAGCAGGGTCCCTGGTGCTCTTGGTGGCCAATAAGGGGGACAGACAGTATCAGCAAGAAGCGACCCCCAAAGCAAAGGATGCAACGAGACTAGACCTTTTGGCAGAAAGGTTTATTATGCAGTGGGTCTACAGCTCTGCATCTCCAACCAGCAGGCGTTGCTGGTCTGGCCCAGGTGCCATCTGTGCCAAAGAGAGGAGTGCCCGAGGTGGAGGCAACGACCAGGTCTGCCTAGCTAACAAAATGCTGCGGCATCGGGAAGTTAAAAGCAGGCATAGGAGGCACACAGAAGTTAGTCAGCGTCTGTGCTGCCGGTGCTGTGGGCTTGCTGTAATGAATAGGAACAGCAGGTGGCGCCATAGTACCAATTTTAATGTTTGGGAATCGATGATGAAGTTCAAGGGCTCTCTTCCCCAGAAGTCCAAGGCAGGAGTTCTCCACGCTGGTGAAGGAAGGGAAGTCTGTGACCAGGGTCTCCCTATAGGTTCGTTACAGGCCTCCCGGCAGATACGGTTGCTAGATCCATGGCTTCTGCAGTGGTCATGCGTAGATGCTCTTGGCTCCAGTCCTCAGGTCTGCCAACAGAGGTTCAACAGTCCATCCAGGACCTTCTGTTTGAAGGCACTTCTCTCTTCTCTGAACAAACAGATGTGAAGGTTTGCGGCCTGAAGGATTCTAGAACCACTCTCAAATCCCTGGGTCTCTGTGCTCCGGCGCCTTTGAGGAAACACTTCAGGCCTCAACAACGGGTTTGCTTCTCACATCAGGAGCTGTTTAAGAAGCAAAATGAGTTATAAATGCAGACAACTGCCCCAACCTGCTTCAGCCTTGCTACCGGGCCCTCACAGATACCCAGGAGGTTCCAAGCAAATCTTTTGATGGGGTGCCCAAGGGAGTTATACCAATTCTTGTACCAGATCCTGCCCCCTTTTTGTTTTCAGACCGTCTCTCTGGCATCAGCCTGGTGTGGTCCCTCATCACCTCGGACTGCTGGACACTGATTATGGTGGAGGAAGATTACACTCTCCAGTTTATTTCCATCCCTCCCTTCCCCATCTCTCTTCAGGGACCCTTCTCACAGGTTTTAGCCCAGGAGCTGCAAGCCCTCCTCTGGATAGGGGCCATGCAGAAGATACCTCAGAGCTTGAGAGGAAAAGGGTTCTACTCCCATTATTTCCTAATGCCGAAGGCCAAAGGGGGTCTCAGACCCATCCTAGACCTGCGTTTCCTTACACTTATCTCAAGAAACTGAAGTTCCGCAAGGTCTCCCTAGTCTCCATTATTCCCTCCCTGGATCCAGGTGATTGGTGCACCACCCTCAATTTAAGAAACCTATTTTCACATCTCCATATTTCGGGCCACAGAAGATTTCTCAGGGTTGTCATGAACCCAGACCCATTACCTGTCGACAGCCCCTCAGGTATTCACGAAATGCATGGCGGAAGGCGAATGGTGCAGTTCTACCCTAACCTCGGCAACTGGCTGGTTAAGGGCCAATCCAAGGCCCAGGTGAGAGCCAGCATCAGTCTGGTCCAAGCTACCTTCCCAGCACTGGGCCTGCTGATAAACGAGCAGAAGTCAACGTTCATCCCGTTCAGAGGATAGAATTTATTGGTATGGTGCTCGATTCCACCCGGGCCAGAACCTTACTCCCAGAGACACACTTCCAGATAATGTCAAAACAACATTAACCCTGAGGACCTCAGAATTCCTGCTATTCTAGATTTTCTTCAGGGTGGTGTGGACGAGGATCTTTGGCCTAGTACGTAGTGTGCAAGTGTCAGCCATAAGTAGTGTCTTGAAAACTGGGTGCTTGAATTCTTCAGAGATGATCTTCAAATCTCAAGTTCTCAAGAGAAATCAGACTGGCTAGACCCACAGTTCAGACACAGTTCTTTCCTAAATGGGACCTCACATTGTGCTAAAAGCCCTGACTGCCCAACCCTTTGAACACCTGACGTCAGTCACATCTTTCTGTGTATCCGTTGTGACAAAGTTCTGTTCTTGACTCCGTGGGTCCTGCGTTTCCTGATGGATTTTTGCTAGCCTCTGAGGCTCACTGTGACCCTCCACATAGCCCTTCTCTCTCTAGAGGCAAGGGTCACAGTCTACTGAGCCATTTTCATCATAAGCCAGCAAGGGAGGTGAGGAGAAACAACCCTCCCTCACACAGTCTCTGTTGTCTCCCAGTATCAGTGATTAATCAGGGAGGGGAGAGGGGAGCCCGGGCCCGCCCTCTACTCCGGGCTCCAGCCCAGGGACCCTAAACTTTAGCAGCTATGAAAGCTGACTTTTTGGAAATAGGACATGTACAATTCCCTGGGCTACTTCCCCACACAATTACCTCAGGGCCTCCTTCCTTGCACCTGATATGGATTCATACTACTTCGTTCCTCCAACAGCACAGCTCCCTCCTATAGCTCCTGACACCCACACCGCACTGACTAACTGAGAGGCTTTTAACTAGTTCCAGCCAGTCCTTGATTGGCTTCAGGTGTCCCAATTAATCTAGCTCTGTCTCCTGCCTTCTAGAAGGATCTTAATTGGCCCCAGGTGTCTTGATTAACCTGGAGCAACTGCCATTTGGTTACCATGGTACCAGGGATTTGTTTAGCCTGGGGCTAACATACCTGTTCCTCACTACTTTACTGTAGCCATCTGGCCTTGCTCCATCACACCATTAAAACCTGTTTTCTGGCCACTATCATGTCTGCAAAACAAGTCTCTGAGATTGCAGCTTTATTCATGCAGGAACCATGTTGTGTATTAGATGATGATGATGATGATGGGTGGTATTGAGGACTCCAGAGTCTTTCTTACCAAAGGTAAGCTTCTTTTTCAGTGCCTCACAGGTCTGTCCAAAGACACAGCATACTACAGAAAAGCTATAGCATAATTTGTTTATAGAGCCTAAAGATATATATCTGGCACGCTTAAGAAGGTCAGGCTCCTTGTTTGTCCCCTTACACCCAAAGTACTAAGGACTTGGGGCATCCAAATTATTTTTGGCTGGATGGATCAAGTTAAGCATCATAGAGTCATATAAGGCATCAGGTGAACCTGCTCCTGATGGAATCAAGACACACTCCATGGGTCTATGGCAAGATTGTGGACAGAAAGAGAGCTTGTGCTTCCACTGAAGAAATCTGTAGGGCAGCAGTTTGGTCATCTCCTACCTTTATGACACACTATAAAACACTATAGACTTTGTGTCCTTTTTAGAGTCCTCCTTTGGCTGTAAAGTGCTTCATGAGATGATTCAGAAAGACATAACTTGTCATTTTGATATTTAATTTCATGGGGAGTCTTTTCCTATCTGTCTTTCTTTTATCCTTCTCTATTTGTTTTCACTGCTTATTTCTTTCCATCCATCTCAGAAGTGTGGGAGAATCTTGGCTGCAGAATGGGAAATTTCTTATCTGATAACTTCCTTTCTGCTAGCAGCATGTCTCACAGTCGCAGTCTCTTTGTATGGCTTATTACCCAAGTAATTAAATTTAATTTTATATTTACAGTTTGTAGGCCAGATAGCCTACTGTCCATAGCTTATGAATAGCATTGAAGTTATTAATACTAGTCATATTCTGAAAGTTTTTTGACACAGCTTTGGAATGAATCATTTGGGAGCAAGCCAGTGAAGGGGGTGTGACCAGCGCATAGGCTGTGTTACATTAAACCACCTGTAGAACTGGAGAGAAAAGGGGAACAGCCTATACATCTTATAATTCTGGGAGATTCTATTAGCAGAAAAGACATTTCTCATTCCTGTTCTGCTTCTTGATTGTTAAATTAAGTTCGTGTTGACATGAGACTTGCTTCTTCTATTAAATATGTTTAAATCAAAGAACTAGGTATCCAGTCTTAGTTATGGCACATTCAGATTTTCTGTTCACATAGATAGAAGTTGTGTGTGTTAATAATTGCAGGATTAGGACTTGTATCTTCTGCCTTGCTTTTAAAACTTGTGCCTCCTCTAGCTTTTAAAAATGTGTGTCTTTTCTGTATATGTACATTATTTGTGTTAGAAGTTCCATTATAATTACCATTTGTAACATTTTTACTATTTCTATTATGCTTTAGGCAGCAATGTGCTATGTCCATGTAGCAGCACTGGTGGCAGAATATCTGACACGCAAAGGTATGAATTTAAACTCCTCCATGACTACTTCAATATTTTTTTTATATTCATTATAGTTTGAGATTAACAAAAACCATTGATTTGTCTGAGAGACAGGTTGGGTGGGTTATTGCTCACTAAGGGGGAAAATCTGCTATTAGATACATGTATATGCCTCCCAAGAAAGTCAAAATTGCATCTCTGTATTTAAGGGCAGAAATTGGGTTTTAAGCTAGTAAACTATCTAAGCAAAGCTTTCAGAAAAGAAAAAGTCTCCATGACTACTGCCTCAACTCCCATTCAGCCTAACTGCTGAAGTTAGTTCTTTTCTAAACATACAAAGAGCAGTAAGCATTCTTATTCACCAAACAAAAGAGGCCAAAATAAATGCAAGTATATCTCCCTTAGGTTTTTTGGGACACTTCCTTGAAGATTTATTACGTGAGCCAATTAATTTTAGAAGTGCTCAAAGATTGTGTACCAGCAGCTGTCTGAAGGAAAAGGGGTTTTGATCACTCTCAGGTTTTTTCCTGCTTTCAGTCTAAAGGGAGAGACCACTTATAACTGGAAAGACTCCAAAGTTCCCAGCCAGTGGTGTCCTGATACATTTGTAAGATTCCTATGAAAAGGTAGGGGGCAGAATTTCCTGTTTCCTGGAGGAATGTGTTACATCGACCACAGGCAAGTGAGTCAAGAACACAGTAAGTCAGAGATACTCCCTCAAGTGACCGGCTCTACCCCATCGGATCTTCATCCAACTCACCATCTCTAACAACCCTGTAAAGTGCAATCTGATCCAGAACAAGATATCTCATCTTTTAGATATGAGACTATTAGAGGGCATTCCTCAGAAGAAAAATTCTCAAGGTTCTTCTCCACCTTCTTCATCGTTCAGAAGTGCATGGGGGGTGGGGGGGAATTTAAGCCATTCTTCTTCGAGGAATGTCCCTGTGGGTGCTCCACTTTTAGATGTGTGAGCGCCCCTGAGCTTCTAGTCGGAGATTTAAGGTAGCAGTGCCCTGGTTGGCCACACACGTGCTGCAGCCAGCTCGTGCTGCTCTGAGTGGGTATCGCGCACGCGCAGCCAACCATCCCCCAGTTCTTCGAGTGCTTGCTCATGTGTATTCCACAGTAGGTGTGCGTGCTTGCCATGTGCACCAGTGCCGGACGTTTTTCCCTGAGCAGTACCTGTAGGGGGGAGTGCCGCTATAGCGTGCTATAAGGGGAGCCGCGCGCTCCCCCCACCCTCAGTTCCTTCTTGCCGCCAGTGAAGGTGCATCGGAACTACTCGCTCCAGCTTAGCTGCAGCACTTCCCAACCTCATTCGTCATTCAGTAGTACCTATATCAGTTAGTTCGTTAAAAGTTCTAGCTTAGTTAGAGTTCAGGCCGGGGCATGCCCCAGGGTTTAAATCGTGTGAGTCGTGTAGGCGCTCAATGCCCAGGAGTGACCCGCACTCCGACTGCCTCCGCTCCCTGGGCAAAACCCACAGTAGCGACCGCTGTAAAATCTGTAGGTCCTTCAAACCCAAAACTAAAAAAGAAAGAGACATCCGACTTCAGGCCCTTCTCATGGAGTCGGCACTGGCTCCGACCCCGGTGCGCCGAGCGGAGTCGGCACCGGGCACCCTATCTTTGGTGCGCAGCAACCCCCCAGCACCCGCCAGTGACCAGCACCGCTCCCCGACGAGGAAACAGAGAAAGGCATCATCGTCGCAGAAGCATAGAGACAGGTCGAGCGGAGCAGCCCGGTTGTGTCGACTCAGGCCTCGCCGGCTGAAGTCCGCATGCCTTCGACACGGGAGGCTTTGCAGGCGGCCAAAGGCATTATGTCCCTGCAGGTGCCTGGGGCACCGCCGGCACCCGGATCCCAGTCCAGAGGCAAGCTGCTGCTGGGCCCCCACCAGCCGACGCTGACCTGCCTCAGATCCCAGTCAGGGGACCGCTCTCGGGCTCGTTCGTCGCCCAGTGTCCGGTCAGGACACAGCCCTCAGCCTCCGCTCTCATAACCCTCCAGGCTGTCTGGTAAAGTTCCGTAGGAAGCCATCTACACGCCAGGCCTACCTGGCAAAGTGGTCCAGGATCTCCAGGTGGGCGGGCAAGCGGGGCGTTTCCCCAACGTCCGCCCTGCTTCAGCTTATCCTTGAGTACCTTCTCTCAGAGCTACTCGGTTTTCTCCCATGCCATGACCGGGTGTTTCCTGAAAGGGCTAGATCGGTCCTTCCCTTATGTTAGAATGCCTGTTCCCCAGTGGGATCTGAACTTGGTACTGTCCCGCCTCACGGGACCCCGTTTGAACCCTTGGTCACATGCTCGTGGTCTCACCTCTCCTGGAAAGTGGCCTTCCTCGTGGCCATCATGTCAGCCTGGCGGGTCTCGGAGCTTAGGGCCCTAACCTGCGACCCCCCCTTACACAGTCTTTCACAAAGACAAGGTTCAGCTCCGCCCGCACCCCGCATTCCTTCCCAAGGTGGTCTCCACTTTTCACATGAGCCAGGACATCTTCCTACCTGTCCTTTGCCCTAAACCGCACGCCTCTAACGAGGAGCGCCGCCTCCATACGCTCGATGTGCGCAGGGCACTCGCCCTTTACCTGGATCGGACTAAGCCGTTCCGTAGGTCTTCGCAACTCTTTGTTGTCTCGGCCGAGCGCATGAGCGGTCAACCGATCTCCACCCAGAGACTGTCCCAGTGGATCACGTCATGCATACGGGCATGCTACGACCTACCAGGGGTTCTCGCACCACCTATAGTATGGGCTCACTCAACTAGGGCTCAGGCCTCATCGGCGGCCTTCGTAGCCCATGTCCTTATCCAGGACATCTGCAGGGCTGCTCCCTGGTCCTCAGTGCACACTTTCACGTTGCATTATGCGATCGTTTCCCATGCCACTCACCACTGCAAAAAGTTAACGGCACGAACCAGAAAGGCTAGGGAACTCCAGCTCAAACCAATGCTTATGGAGAAATTCCTGCATCCTGCCTCTGACCCTGAGCAGGGGACCCCTCCCCACCAGTTCACTCACTCCCCAACTGCTGTGTCGGACATCGGAGCCTCCTCTAAGACAAGCACAAAGGACGCAGCCCCCATGAAAACAAAGAAGCGGTCTCACTCCTCTTCCCCCCAGGGAGACTCGTGATGCAAAAAGCAGTCTCCGACCTCTAAATCCGCCCCGGTACCATCGGCACGCAGAGCCTCAGACCACGTATCACTGGGTTCCTCCAGTGCAGAAGCATCCCTAGGAGCGAAAGACCCCGTGCGGTCTAGCTCTAAGACAGGCAGCTGTGGCAAAACAAAGCCTGTTCCCTCACAGCCTAGAGAGCTGAAGTCCTTGGCACCGAGCAGTGCTATGGCGCCACCTGCTGTTCCTATTCATTACAGCAAGCCCACAGCACCGGCAGCACAGACGCTGACTAACTTCTGTGTGCCTCCTATGCCTGCTTTTAACTTCCCGATGCCGCAGCATTTTGTTAGCCAGGCAGACCTGGTCGTTGCCTCCACCTCGGGCACTCCTCTCTTTGGCACAGATGGCACCCGGGCCAGACCAGCCATGAGTCTCACGACTACACCTGCTAGCTTAGCCCCTCCTCTCTCAAGCGCTGAGGAGGACGAAGTGGCTGATAGGATGGGCACCCCACGCCATTCATCGCTCAAACCTGGAACCTCAGGGCTACAACCCACAGTGTGGCAACCCCCTCAATGGATGATTCCCCCCCCATGGCCCTCCCACCAAACTGGCCCTACTGGGACCCTGGGCACTGTACAGGGCTCAAAATATTCAGTCCTCTAACCAATCCAGGTCCAGAACACCAAGATCAGCTAGATATACTTCACTGGTTGCCCCAGCCTCCCCTGAAGTCACCGGGGAGGAGCATGAGGGCAATGAGGACTTAATAGAGGGTGACATCCTACCTCCTACCCATATTTCTTCATCGTCCCTGGAGGACACAATCATGTCTCCCCCCCATACCGGGGGATGACTTTCAATCTTTCCAAGATCTATTCAAGCGTGTGGCTGATTCCCTAGGCATCTGCTTAGAAGAGCTGCCAGAGACACAGCGTAAGCTTGCTTATATTCTCCATGCCTCTTCTGCGGCCAAGATTGCATTGCCTATTAATTCTGCCATTATAGACCCAGCAAAAACGGTCTGGCAGACACCGCCCACGGCCCCACCTTCTTGTAACATTCAGACAAGAAGTATTACATGCCAGCAAAAGGGGAAACGCCTTGACCTGTTTGGTAGAAAGGCCTATCCTCAGCGACTCTTCAGTTACATATCGCTAACTACTCCACGCTATTAGCCAAATACACTCACAACATTTTTGCACAGATGTCTACGTTTATTGAGCATCTCCCAACAGACAAAAAAGAACAATACAAAGCGAACATCTCAGAAGGTTCCCTGATTGCCAGGATGGCCTTGCAGGTATCATTGGATTCTGCAGACACGGCAGCTCGCTCCATCGCCACGTCAGTAGTCATGCAGAGGGCCTCTTGGCTCCACCTTTCCGGCTTCTCCAAGGAAATCCAGGCCACAATCGAGGACTAAACTATTTGTGGACACCACAGATGCAGCCTTGCATACACTCAAGAACTCCTGTGCCACACTGAAAACCTTGGGAATTCACGTACCTGATAACAACACTGAATGGCTTACAAGGCAAAAGGTCAGATGCTAAGTGGGCTCTTTACAATGGGACTATTTTTTTGGGCAACTGTACATAGTTGGTCTGGTTACCTCTGGAGCATTTGTTACTAATATTGGTATTCAAGTTTTTACAGCTAAGGACTTCATTTTAAGTGTTTATTTTCAGCTTCATTATATCCTTTCCTCCTAGTCATGAATTTAATAGGTACTTAAATCTGTTTTGGTGTGTAGTAATAGCTTTCATTAGACTCTTTCATAACAGCTTCTCTGGACCTGAGATGTATTATTGATGGCCATTCGGAGTGATCTTTATTTTACAAGTAGCCCTTAGGTTCCAGATACCCTTTAACTGGACTAGCTTAGTACCTGATCGATTTCAAAATTTGCTTTCACTGTTATCAGAGGTTCAAAGAATCTCTGAGGTACAAGGTCAAATTCACATGCTTCAAAATATATATCAAGTTGAAAAGAATGCCTTTCATACAGCTTATAGAGTGTCTACTTTATGTACTAAGTATGATGTATTGTGCTTTGTGACTAAAATTGTACAACAACCCCATCATATTATTAATGTGGGAATGTTACTGCTTTTATTGTTGTTTGGTTTAGGATTGTTATTGTTGTTGTAAAGGACGTGATAATAGTAATACCTTTCATGCCCAGGCTAATGATGCATTGTCATTGCATCCAATCAAAACCCCTAAGGTTGAAGCATCTGATGTAGAATCTGAAATCCAAGGCTTAATGCAAATAGAAGTTTGAGAATCTTTGTTGTACTAGAAGTACAAAAGGTGGGAGGTGTGGAAGTAGAGAGAGCACTGACAGGGATTTGAAAGGGATTTCAATGCGAACACTCTCCGTTAGCAAGAGTCAGGCTAACTGTAACCCTAATAACGTAAGATTTGTAGAAGCGAGGATTGTGTGATGCGAATGGGAAAGAACTGTGTGAGAAGTTGTTGCGACCTTGTGTAGATAAATATGGAATGTAGACTAGAGTCTAAATAGATGTGAAAAATAAGATAGGATGACCTATGTATAAACAAAATGCAGCTGTTGCTCATTATTGTATGTAACAAAAGGTATAAATGCTTGCTGTAATTGTTTACCTGTAGAGAGACCTGTGTAGGAGGGAGAAACCCTGTGTCCTAGTGCACTCTCTCCCTCTATGCAATTGCTTGAGAATAAAGTATCTGACTTTGCTGACCCAACCAGAGAGTGAGAACTGTGTTTTTCTCCGACAAGGGAGATACTTATTTGTGATACGTTGAATACATTGTTGTTTGGCAGTTCCTATGTTCCTACTTACATTGGGAAATCCTAACTTTCTGCATCAGAGAGTTAATTCTAACTAAGTTCCCACAACAAACAGGCTATGAACTACACCTCTACCCCAATATAACGCTGTCCTCGGGAGCCAAAAAATCTTACCGCGTTATAGGTGAAACCATGTTATATCGAACTTGCTTTGATCCGCCGGAGTGTGCAGCCCCGCCCCCCTCGAGCGCTGCTTTACTGTGTTATATCGAAATTCATGTTATATTGGGTCACGTTATATCGGGGTAGAGGTATACTTTGCTAATCCACTGATAACAAGTTTTCTTGATATCTGGAAGCAGTATAAAAAATCTTCAAAGAGCGATTTATTGTGCTCATTAGTTTTCTGCAGTTTGCAGCAGAAGTAAACAATGCTACCAACTTACCTCTTGAAACAGTTTTTTTCAAAACCTTATGTTTGTGTAATTTCTGACTGCATAAAGTTTAATGACATTTTTCACTTTTTGTTTTAGCACAGAAAACTTCCTAGATTACAGGAGAAATAAAGTGCTACAAGAGAACAATAAATCCTTCTCCATCTTCAGTCATAAATGAATATTATCCATTAATAATTGGCCCCGACCACCTTGGTTTTTTGGAGGAAAGAGAATAGAAATATTACTGAAATTTTTACTTCTTCCAATGTTCAAAGTAAATATTAAAGATATGTGTTGGTTTAAATAATTCATTGAGCACATTGCAAATTTTTCTTTATCATTTTGGTGGTAGGTGCATTCAGATACATTAGCATGGATTCTCTGTCTCATCAAAACTGGTGCACAATGACTTAACATAATCCTAATGAGCGGACAAAAATATTTGGATAGCAATGAATTTAATGTGTATATTTTTCTTTTTCAATAATAGGAATGTTTAAGCAAGGCTGTACTACTTTCAGAATAATCACGCCAAATATAGATGAAGAGGCTTCAATGATGGAGGATGTTGGGATGCAAGATGTTCACTTCAATGAAGTGAGTAAGCAAAATTCATATATATTAAATTCAACTCTCATAAACAATTGTTGCTTTACAGTGTTAATTTTATGATTTTTCAATTTTGTCTATTTCACTCTTGGAGTTAATTATAAAATGAGTTAACTGAGCTGACCAGCCTTTAAATAACTGAGTGTACATTTCTGGAAAAATAACAGCAGCATTTCAGTAGTTCAAAATCCTCAAAGGAAAAAAAAGGTAACCTAAAGAGATTAACCAAGAACATAAAAACAAGTAAAAAAGACTGTTACATGGGGTAAAAAAACTATGCTAACTGACAAACTACCCTGATGATTGTTTTATATACTAGCTAGGACTAACCATAGTAAAGATTTTGACCACTTCACCAACAAAGATCCCATCCCATCTCCTAGAACTGGAAGGGACCTCGAAAGGTCATCGAGTCCAGCCCCCTGCCTTCACTAGCAGGACCAAGTACTGATTTTGTCCCAGATCCCCAAGTGGCCCCCTCAAGGATTGAACTCACAACCCTGGGTTTAGCAGGCCAATGCTCAAACCACTGAGCTATCCCCCTCCCCCCCCCAATGTAGATTTAGATTTAGATTTATGTAATGTCTACCAGTAATCTGATTACGTTATTTAATTTATACCATGTGTTTGAATTGGGGTGAAGGTATAGATTGATTTACCATATGTATATTTTCACTTCTGCCAAGTGAGAAAAGATTGATAAAGTAGGAGCATAACCACTTTGTCCCGATTTGAGCAGTGCTTATTAAGGCCATTTCTGGAGGATCGCAAAGCCTACATACTCTCAAGGTCTTCTGACTTTAGGAACCCAGAAGTATCAAAACTTCTTCAAGTGATTGCTCATATTGATTCCAATTAGGTGTGCTCCCGCCATGTGCACAGTTGTCGGAAAGTTTTTTCCCTAGCAGCACCCATCGGGTTGGCTGTGGAGCCTCCTGGAGTGGTGCCTCCATGGCGCTCAATATATGACACTGCCGACCCAGTGCCTCCTCAGTTCCTTCTTACTGCCCGTGACAGTCATTGGAATTGCGGTGGTTTGCTTTGGCAAGTGTTCCCCTAGTTCTTCCATGCTCATCGTATATAGTTTAGAGTCTCGTAGTTTTGATAGTTTAGCTATAGTTAGTTAGTTAGTTAGGAGTGGGGGGGTCTTTCCCACTCCAACTTTCCTGCTTCCCCTTGGGACTCGGGGCATGCCTCGATCCCAAGGATTCAAACCCTGCAAGTCCTGCCACAAGCCCATGCCAATGGGCGACCCCCGCGACTCTTGCCTCAAGTGTCTGGGGGAGGCACACCAGACTGACCGGTGCAAGATTTGCAGAGGGTTTCACTCCAGAACTAAAAAGGAGCGGGACTTTCACCTCTGTGCAGAGCGCTCCGGCCTCCGTAAGAAAAGCGGTGCAGAGGAAGGACTCTGGGCACAGAGACCCTCAGCACTGGCACTCCTTGGCACCGAAGCCGGTGGAGACTGCATGGCACTGGTCTCACTCCCCAGTGCCGAAGCAGGACAGGGACCAACCCCCTGCACTGAGGGCTGCTGCCTTGGAAGCCACCACTGCGGGGCATCCCATGGGGGAGCTCCTGGCGCCGAAAACTCAGGAGCTGGCACTGTTTTTCAGAGGTGGGGAACTCCCCACATCGACCTCTTCACCACTCAGGGCAACAGGAAGTGCCTGTGGTTCTGCTCCTTTCGGTACCACAGCCAAGGATCCCTTGCAGACGCATTTCTCCTCCCCTGGTCTGATCATCTGCTGTACACGTTCCCGCCATTTCTGCTTGTGCACAAGGTCCTGCTCAAAATCCACAGGGACAAGGCAATGGTCAGAATGTTGGCACCGGCGTTGCCCCGCCAGCATTGGTACACCATTCTCCTGGACTTTCGGTGGACACCCCTATCACGCTGCCGCTACTTCCGGACCTGATCACCCAGGACCATGGTCACCTTCGTCACCCAGAGCTTCAGTCTCTTCACCTCACGGCCTGGAAGTTCATGGTTAAACCCCACAGAGCTCATGTGCTCAGAGTCGGGTAGAGAGGTCCTGCTTGGTAGCAGGAAGCCCTCCACTAGGTCCACCTATCTGGCCAAGTGGAAAAGGTTTGCAGTCTGGTGTTCCCAGGGCCGTACTCTGCCATTGCAGGCCCCCATTCCTCTCGTCCTGGAGTACCTGTTACACCGTAAGCAGCAAGGTCTGGCAGCTTCTTTCATCAAGGCGCACTTGGCAGCTATCTCTGCATTGCACCCGAGAGTGATTGGGCACGCCGTTTTCGCCAACCCCATGGTTGGCCGCTTCTTCAAAGGTCTGGAGCATCTGTACCACAGGTTCGGCAGCCAATCCCTGCGTGGGATCTCAACCTGGTTCTCGCCAAACTGATGGGGCCTCATGGAAGGTTGCCTTTCTAGTCTCCATTACTTTGGCAAGGAGTGTTTTGGAACTTAAGGCCCTCACCTCCAACCCTCCCTACACGGTTTTCTTTAAGGACAAGGTGCAGTTTAGACTTCACCCTGCTTTCCTTCCAAAGGTTATGTCCCAATTTCACTCCAACCAGGACTGTTTTTTACCCTAAACCTTATGCAAGCAGCCGGGAGCAAAGACTCCACTCACTGGACGTTCGACAGGTGCTCGCCTTTTACATGGAGTGCACAAAGCCGTTCCGAAAATCAAACCAGCTGTTCGTGGCGGTGGCAAACCATATAAAAGGTCTTCTGGCCTCGTCGCAGAGGATCTCATCGTGGATCACCTCCTGTATCTGCATCTGCACCTGCTACAAGTTGGCACAAGTTGGCCAACCTTCCAGCCCCGGCACTCACGGCACATTCCACAAGGGGTTGTTTGCCTCCCCACACTCACCCCACAGCAGCAGCTCGTGCAACTCCAGTTCTGCAGGGCTGACTGGGCTCAGCTCCCCACTCCAGTCATTGTGACCTGGTGCACAGGATCACAGCACTGCTCAGGTTAGTCACTCCTCCAGCATGATGACGGGGCTGGCCGGGTCAAACTTTTGTGAGTAGTACTGTGACACCATGTGCCAGATTGCAGTGCTGCTCACTCAGATTTGGCGAGGCCGCTCCCAAAAACCTGAATGGCCCAGAGGTTGCAACACCCAGAGCAGGGAACTGAGTCCAGCCAGCCCCACGGAACAGGAGCCACAGGATCTGCCACTATGGTACACATGGTGTACTTATATAGTACTTACTATGTTAATGTGTTTATTATGTATTGTGGGTAAGAAATATTTAGTAAGCCAGATTTTTTTTGCACTAAAGTTATTTACTGGTTTGGGACAGGACATCAAGATTTACAAATGGGTCCTCAGCCCAAAAAAGGTTGAGAACCACTAGTGTAAGAGAAAATGACTAATATACATTCAAGGAATATTTCAAAACTGACCACTATTTATAATGTCATAGATGTTTAATTGTAACAATTGGAAACTGCTTGGGCTTTTTCCCCCATTACAGGCCTACTTATGGAAATTTTCCAAAAAAAATCAATTCTGTTTTGTTTTGTTTTTTAAAAAGTCAATTGCATAGACTTTTTTTTTTAACAGAATTACAGTCAATGTGGTCAGTGTGGGATGCAGAGAAAATGAAATATACCACCAAATCTACCTGGAGAATCAGAAGGATATGATGTTAATCACTGTGAGCAATTCACACTCCTCTACATGGAAGGAATACCAGTGGAGAATTATGATTATACAGATATAGATAGATAGATATTCTTCTTCTTCAAGTGATGTCCCTGTGGGTGCTCCACTTCAGGAATTGGTGCATACCTGCACTGTTGATCAGAGAATATCAGCGGCAGTGTCCATCTGGGTTGCACATGCGCAGTCGCTGTCTTGTGGCACCATTGGCACCTCATCTAGACCGCACGTGCCCCGACCCCCTCAGTTCCTTCTCAACCATCCTCAGCCAGAAGTGGAGCTCTGTAACAGTGTCCCAAAGTCAGTCAGTGACAGATCTAGAAAACATAGTTAGAAATAGTTTCAGTTTATAGTAAGTATTAGTCTTAGTTAGTTATTTAAAATATATATATATTATTTCAAAACGCACTCAACTGGGCCTGGTTTCCAGGTTTTAAAAGATGTGGCTTGTGCCGAGACACTATGCCCACCTCAGACGGACATTCCCTCTGCGTCCGCTGCCTTGGTGAGTCGCATATTCCCCAGAAGTGCACTCACTGTAGCAACTTGAAGGCCAGAACCAGGTGGGATTGAGACCTACACCTGAAGTTCATACTTATGGAGAAATCTCTCTGCCTGGCCTCAGACCCCAGACAACAGACCCCTTCTACAGGGTGATCCCGGGTACCTCACCCTCCGCTAAAGACAAGGCTCATTCCTCAAAAAGATTGAGAAAAGTGCTATGACCTCACCACAGAGAGAGCCGACAAAAAAGAAATGTCTCCTCTGCCAGGTCGCTGTCCTCGGTGCCAACCACTCCAAGTGTATGCACCTTCAAGGCACCGGGACCTCTGTCAAGTCCTATAGTAAAGACAAGGAGTCTAGAAGCATGTCTAAACCTACCACCTCCTCTACAGCACCAACACCACCAGTGAAAGAAAAGGCACCAAAGCTGTCACTAGTGGCTATGCAACCACCACTCATGCTGACAACTTCATTGGCATCAGCAGAGAGGGCAAAGATGGCAACATCGGCACCAACCAAGTCAAGTCTCAAAGCATCAGCACCACCCACAGTACCATCAAAAACACTGGCACTGTTAGCAACAGCACCGGAACCACCAGCACCACACTATTTACTAAATCATAGAGAGATCCTGGGGTCCTCCATACCAGTCTCTCCACTCTTCGGCACCGATGGCTCCCTGGAGCATACAGCACCGGAACAATCAGCCTCACCCATCGCCCCACCATTCTCTAGCAACAAGGACGATAAGCACAAAGAGGGTGTCTTCTCCTCTCACCATTCTTCACCAATCATAACCAGACCACCTTTGGGACCCATGAGATCTATGGCCCAATCTG